ATGAAAATTGAAGCATTTTCACACTGCTGCGCAGGTTGAGACGGACAAACGCAACAATACACCTCTTCATGGTGCAGTAATGAATTCTCCTTTATTCAGCACTCCAGCACATGCTTAACAACATCAGCGCACTTGATTCGTTCTTTCAAATGTACTTAACAAGTTACTATTGGCTGTAAGTAAGCAAGCTTGCTATTGGCTTAAAGAGGCGGGAGAAACTTCCCTTAAGGAGGCAAGAGAAGCTTCCCTCAAGGCGGTATGCTGTGGTTTCTTGTTCATCCTTTTCCTGTTTTTTTTTCTTTGTCCCTAACATCTTGCAATTGCCTTGTCTGTAGGCCCGCTACAGACTCCCACATCACACAAGCTGTCCTGAATTTTTAACTTGCCAAGCATAGGGCTGAGCTCAGACCCCAGCTGACCCCTCTGCCCGGGATGTCACCAAGCATCTGGAACGAACCCCCTCCCATGTCGTCAAACAAATGCAAAAGCGCATTGGCCCGGGCAAAAGGAAGGGAAACTCTCAAAGGAGAAGGGGAACGACGCAACAGGTTTTCTGAAAATTATTTTTCAGCCTTCCTGGCAGTTCTCAGAAATGTCTCATCTAAGATGGCTGGGGTAGTAGGGTCCCAGGTCTGCTATGAGAGGTGGTGGAAGCTGCTAGGAGAACAGGTTGTCCATATTATGGAAGACATCTTGGTTCTCATTGTGGTGGAGAAACGATGAGGAACATGGAGCTTCTCGACCATGCAGCAGAAACCTGTGTTTTCTCAGAGCAGCCTTACATGAAGAGATGTGACCTGCAGAAGGCAGAGCTTCCGAGATTGTCCTGGAGACCCTGGTGTGAGACAATACAAGGAAGCTCAAGCTCAGCAGTGAAATCAACTCCATCTACACTGAAGTTCTGATGTTTTACCCATCTTTCTCATGAACTGAGGCAGCATTAGCTATAAAAACTAAAAATGTCTCATTGTAGGCACACTTTGCTTTTATTATCAGCTCTGTGAAAGATTAAATTTCTCTATGCCTTCATGCGCTCCCTGGTGGAAGTATCTACCACACACGAGCCCAGAAAATCTGCAGTAATCTCAGCCTTGTGCTGGATCTAAAATGATTCTGTAAAAAAAGAAATCCTTTCCTTTAGTGGATCGCAGTGGCAGATGTCAACACCCTCATCATCACCTCCAACAAGGACTGAGAATAAGCAATGAAGGTCTGCAATGGGAACCATCTCATACAGCCTGAAAATCAGCTGAAAGATGGCAGGCAAAGGATATTAATGAGTATCCATCATAAAAGATGAAAGAATGACCGCAACCTTCACTTTGGGATTTTGCACACGTATCTTAGTCACTGCCAGAATGTCTTGGATTGGGAGTGGAAAACTCCAGATCTGGACTGCTAAATTCTGCTGCTCCTAAAGCAGCTCTTCCAACCCAAACCCAAGGGTAGCAGCAAAAGCTGGGGTACACAGAGGGACACCCCAGCCTGACCCCTCCTTTGGGCAGGAGCAGCACTCCTGGTTCCGGATGAGAAGCAAAAGGAGGCACCAAAGGGCTGTAAATGGAGCTTGAGAAGCAGAAGAGAGGACAGGGGCCTGTGGAGAGGTGAGGGAGGGAAGAACAACTAAGAGGAACTGGGGCAAAAGGCTGCGACCTGATGCAGGGAGCATGGGGGTCTGGGTGCAAGATGGGAACTACAGCCACAGGGCGAGCAAGATGCACAGGAAGGGCGGTGCGGTAAGAGCCGTAGGGATGGCGACGAACTCTCCAGAAGAGCCGTGCATGCAAACAACCTCAAGGAAAGGGGAAAAAATTGCCTAGCACAGGCATATTTGCTCCTGACTCTTGAGAGCCACAGATGAGGCAGCAGCTCTCAGTACATCCACCCAACGAGCCGGCAGGGAGCCGAGCTCCATAGAATCATAGAATCATAGAATGTTTTGGGTTGGAAGGGACCCCTAGAGGTCATCTAGTCCAACCCCCCTGCAGGAGCAGGGACACTGCTAACTAGATCAGGCTGCTCAGAGCCCCGTCCAACCTGGTCTTGAATGTTTCCAGGGATGGGGCCTCCACCACCCCTCTGGGCAACCTGTGCCAGTGTTTCACCACCCTCATTGTAAAGAACTTCTTCCTTAGATCTAGTCTAAACCTACCCTGGTTTAGTTTAAAACCATTACCCCTTGTCCTGATACAGCTGGCCCGGCCGCAATCAGGTCTCCCCGCAGCCTTCTCTTCTCCAGGCTGAACAAGCCCAACTCTCTCAGCCTGTCCTCATAGGAGAGGTGCTCCAGCCCCCGGATCATTTTTGTGGCCCTCCTCTGGACCCGCTCCAACAGTTCCATGTCCTTCTTGTGCTGAGGGCTCCAGAGCTGGACGCAGTACTCCAGGTGCGGCCTCACCAGAGCAGAGTAGAGGGGCAGAATCACCTCCCTCGACCTGCTGGCCACACTTCTCCCGATGCAGCCCAGAGTGCGGTTGGCCTTCTGGGCTGCCAGCACACATTGCCATCTTCCTGCACAGCCCCCCTAAGGAGACCTAAGCCTCTACCAAGGAACTGGGGTATTTCAGGTTGACCCACCACTTCCCACCATCCCCTGAGCAAGCCTCCCCCTGTATTCCTCTTCGCGAAATCAACTTCTTTTGCAAGAAGTTTGATACGATTAAACAGATACCCATCATATGATCAAAAAAATAAATAGCCGTGCCACATCAAATGGTAGGAAACGCTGCCATTTCAGTCACATGAGGCCCAAGCGTCTGGAAATGTGGCGGGCAGAGCTGGAGGCATGCAGCTTTTCCCTGCCTTCCTAACTGGCTGTGTGGCTTTCTCGGTTTAAAAAAGAAACATTCAGTAACGTCGAGCCATATTGCATAATTACCCAAGGAGGTGCGGAGCCGAAGCTGTCAGCTGAACTGCTGTGGCATCACCCCCGCACTTACACCGCGTTAGGACTTCGTGTTGGAACAAATGTGCCCAACCTGAATGTTCAGGCACACTCCCGGGGTTCCTTCACCACCGGGTATTACCGCACCGATGGCTCCAGGAGGCTTATTAAGAGCAACTCAGACCAAAAGTGACTTTTTCGAGCAGCAACTGTTTATTATTGGGAAAAACATTAGGACTTTATCTTTTTTCTCTTACATATACTTGATTTGAATAAAAATAATTTAAAATTTTTTAATTTCTTTTTATATTACATGAAAATAACTCAAAACAAGGACTGAGAATTCTGGAAGCAAGACAACATAGACGGAACTGTTGTTTAGCTGCTGAGATGCACGACTTGGATTTTTATTTTTAACTCAAAAAGAGAAACAATCACAACTGTCGTTCCAGTGAAGAAAATTAATCCATCTTCAAAGTATCTTGTGATTTGAGAATGGTATATAATTACACTATAAAGTATTCATAATACAGTGTGTGAGTTCTAACATATTACCTAAAATATATAACTTCTCAGACTTTACATGGTCAACTATTTCAGACCATGTTCCAGTGGAAAAACACTACAAACCTATTATGACCCTTTTAAAGTTCTTGTTGAATTAACTTTTATTTCCTGTTGAGGAATTCTAATATTTCAAGCAATAAAATATTGCATACAAACTAGCTTGCAGAACTTTATTCACACTAACTTGGACAACCACTTTTTTAAAAGATGAAGCACCTTTAGTAACAGTGATAAAGCATCACTGTTATAGAAGCTGATGAAGAAGCAGATCTTGTGCACAGATTGCTACAATTTCCAAGACATTTCTGTAAATCTGATAAAAATTACTGTATATTCGGTAATAAGAAATTACACTAATGGGAATTAAAATATGCTTGAGGCTGGGGTAGGATTACAGCGTTACAAGACAAAGATTCTATTAACAGATTCATATCATCTGACAAAGACTTCCAATAAAACACTGATTTCTTTTTTCTTTTTAAAATACATGCAACCTACTGCAATTTCCATTCCCTGGCTCACCTCGCCTCTCTTCAGTTGAATGTGAATATAGTTCATCTTTTCATTAAGTTCTGGGGTAACAAACACCTTTCAGCATCACCTGAATGGATCTAATAAAAAAAAAAAAAACAACCCAAAAGCAAAAAAAAAAGCAATTAGCATGTTGAGGTCTCGCTTCAGAACACAAACTATTTATTATCTGCAGAAATATGCAGGGTAAAAATGAGATGGAATTTGCATAGGTAGTTATTTGCATTGAGTACCATATTAAATTTGATGTCACTGTCCCAGTCGTGGCTGTCCGATGGACTGAAGGAAAACCACTCTTCACCGAGTACGAGGGAAAAATGCTATCGCAAGAGAGGAGTTTTGACAATCGTATTAACAGCCTAACCTCAGGGGTCAGTTCTCTTTTAAAGCAATGGCTGAAATGCTGGCTGGCGTTGCAGCTTGACAAACAAGCCGATGCCATCTAAAGCAACAATGTCAAGCCCTTTAAAAATAAACATTTAATTTCAGTATATTTTGGGGGATTTTTTTGTTGTTGTTTTGTTTTGTTCCTGGCTTTTTTATTTTTGTAACTGTCTGCTGTTTCCAGCACCGTCTCAGAGGCTGGAACGTTTCATTCCTTCCTCTGCTGGTTTTGTCATTTTCCACTTGGCAGATACTGAGCACCACACCCCGCGGCTCCGCATGGCGCAGCAGTCACCGCTACCGCCGTCTTATTTTCCTTGTCTGTTATCTGTATTATCAGTGGGATTTACTGCCCTGGAATGTGATTTCTGAATTAATACGCATTTTCTTTTCCTAAGGAATGCCTTATTTGTCAACCACAGCTGTGTAAAACCACTGTAATTTTAAATAATGAGTGGGCAGTGGCTCCTTTGAGATAAATCAGTGACGCAATTTAGAAAGCCAAGGAGGCATTTTCACCCGACTGCAATAGTTTTAAGATCAGGTAAATTTTTGGACCTAAACTATGCCATTTATCTTCCTTTGTAAATTAAGAATTACTTTTAGTTTTACCAAGAAATATTCTACTGGTAGGAACTACAGAATTTTTGAAATTGTTATGCATATTTATGTTTTACTTCTCTAAATATATTACTCATTTGTTTAATTAATTCAGGAATCTACCACACCGTCAACCAACTACAGTAATCCAGAAATATTTTCTGCGTACAGAAGGGGCTTAATCACTAAGCCACACCTTCCTGCAAAGCTTCAGTACTTTTGATTGGTAAAAAGCATTTCTCATTGAAATAATACTGAAGCGGAGCCCAAGCCCTCCTCCATATATATGACTGTTAAGTTAATTAACTTTTCAGGACAAAACGCTGATCACATTCAATGACAAGATATACTGTCGTCTTCAAGACAGCTCCAGCGGTCGCTCTGGTGGTACAACCGTGTATCTTGGGTCAAGCGTAGGTGTGAAATCCTTGAAGTTCTTAGATGCTTCAGTACCAAATACATCTAAAACTTTCCTGTTCATGAGAGCAAACCTGAAAAAGAAGAGACAAGAGAGAGCGAACAGACTATTAATTTACTTCTGAAAAAATTATTTTAAAATATTTTCTTTAAAAAAATTACGAATTTATTTATGAAATGATTAAAATTATTTCACTTCATGAAAGACTTATCCAAATCTTTGAAATACAGGCTTCAGCCTTCACTGTTCAGAGACTACAAGCTTTTAATCTTTTAATCTTGGGCAATAAAGATTTAAAAAAAAGAAAATTGTCAAATCTAATTCATAGTGCTTTGTGTAGACTTACTTTATAAAACATAACTTGTGGAAAGGGGGAAAGGAGAGTGTCCCCTTCAACTTTTAACTTCACAAAGAAAGTCAAAACAAAATACACTACTCTTCTTTCTCACCCCAACCTCGCAAATTCTGGCCATGCCTGCCCAAGGGTGGATACCAATTTCATGGGTGTTACAACCTATTTCAATCTCTTTAGTCTTCAAAATTGTTGAGTGAAAGACCTATGAAACGTCACAAGAATCTGCCTCTATGGAGAGAGTGTCAAAATTACTATTACAGAGATTTAATTCAGGTAAAATAAATGAGCAGAATAGGATTTCTTTTCCCTCCTCTCTTTCAACTAGCAATCTCAGGATTAGCACGAGAGGGAAAAATGCAGCTAAACTTGGACATCTGCACCGACATCATCCCCTCTTGTGTTTGTACAGCCTCAGAGGCTGCCTGCAGGCATCCCAGGAAAAGCTTCCCACTACATCTCGCAATGTATTGTCCCCTCCTGTCCAGCCAAGAGCGTACTGAGCCATGGGGAGGTCGCTGCAGCATGCTCCAGGGACTGCCCTCACATTTCACTTCTATTTTTATAGTCTGGAGAGCTCAGCGTCACGACAAACGTTACCTTTTATAATCCCATCCATAAGCTGATCTACATCACGATTTGGATGCCTTGTTTCTGCCACACAGTACAGCAGTAAAATAACGTACACTTCAGTAAATAGTATTTATAAATCAGTTACAGCATAATCTATTTTAAAAGGTAAGCATTTTAGATCCCCACAGTAAATAAGAGAAAAAATATCCAGTAAGATATTACAGCATAAATTTATGGTTAGAGTCGGTGAAAATTTTTCTTCAGTTTTCCAAGAAAGAAAATTCTTTTCCCAACTGAAATAGATGTCCTATAAAAAAACTATTGAATCTTCAAAATATTCTTAGGAAATACTCTGACATTTCTAGTAATGCTTTTAAACATGTAGTAATGTGTTGTGTATCACTGTACATACTAAATGATTTCTATCTACATATCCCACTGATACCTGAAAGCATTCCACCCTCCAAGTGAACTAAGGATAGAAAAGCCTTCAAGTAAAACACTCATCTGCTAAATAGTCTTAACTAGATTTAAGTCTTTGCTCCTGTCGTCAGACGAAACCTAGCAGCGTCCCTTCAGCAGCAAAGAACTTCAAGCGGACTGGAAAGCATTTGAAAAGCAAAGTAAATACTCAGGAGATTAGCCCATATGTACTCCTACGGCTCTGCTGTTGACAGTGAATGACACAGCAAGTTGAATGTGATCAATGGCGTGTTCAGACAAGCCATGACATACTCCCAGTTACATACCTGCCCTTTGTTAGTCGTAAAAGAAATTTCCAGTATGAAGGTCTCAGGTTCTGAACTTCCATGACGGCCTGCAAGGAGAGTATTCTGTCAAAGCCAGCTGACAGAGTCAGGCAAAAGCTTCACCTGCTACATTATGTTCCCAAAAGCAGTGAAAGGATAGTTATGGAAATATAATATATATTTTTAATTTTATTTTTAAAAAATCATCTCATGATTCATGGACTGAAAGCAGCTGTGACCACCTGCCAAGGTCCAGCACTCTCAGTAGACAAACCACTCGCAGCTGAATCCAATGCTCTATATGACCACCACCAGCGCAGACTGATATTCCCGGAACCGTCTTTCCAAAGTGGTGGCAATTAACTCAGATCTCATTGCAGACAAAGCAACAATAATCCTTACTATTCCTACGTGCATGATTTTGCACTTTTGGATGCCACCTGCTATTTTATCCCCCACTCACGCTGTATTTTGTGATCAACCATTTCTTGTAGTCAGTCATCTCTGTATTCATGCTACGCATCTTAAATAATGTTATATAACCAAAATCCTTATCTTCTCTCTATTCCATTACTTTTCCAGGTCACCTATCAATACAGTGAGTAACAAACATGTCAGCATAGATCCCTTTGCTAACTTCCCCCTCCTTCCTCCCTCTGAAACCTGGTAATTTATTGCCAGTCTTGGGCTCCTTTTCCAACCAGTTATTAAGTAACGAAAAAACCCTTTCCTCTTTTCTCATATTAACTTTATTTGTTAGCCTCATACGATGGTCCTTGCCAATAGTATTTTGGAGATTTCAATGCTGCAGACCTTCAGGCACATCCCAAGCACTAAAATATCAGTTTACTTTGATACTAGAATAAGAAATATTCCCAAATATAGGGGAGCAATGAGGAGGAGGAGTGGAACCGTCCTGTTAAGCACGAGACAGCAGAAGACTGCTTTAGGGGCATTTTATATTTTCTTCAGTGAAGGGTACAAAAAATACATATAGTTATGGAGGTCCAGAAAACATTCAGTGGGATGTTTCAGCAGAAGGTCTATAAAAGGAGAGATGTAGTGGAATAGTAGAGCAATTTGAGTACCACTGAAAAGAAGCTTTTCCAGCTGATGCAGCCGATAAAAGGACTGAGGGTGAAGGCACGTGATTGACTCGGAAAGTGCAAAAGATGATAATTACAAAGTGTTTCAAACACAAAATTTCAGATTTTCTTACTAATTTTTGCAAATCCTTTCAAATAGGCAACTTTAATTCAAGTCAGCTGAAAGTGAAAACTTCCAGCTGATTGAAAAGGCATAAAATATTACAATATATTGTTTGTCTCCTTGAGAAACAGTCTGTTCACGTGCTTATGAAAGCCCATGCAGTTATGTTAATCTCGGGCAATTGAGATCCTTTCCAAAGAACTCAGTGCTTTGTACAATGTAATCAGCATATGAGAAATCTGAGTCCTAGAAATGATCTTCCCACTGTGACACTCAAAAGCAGGATGCAGGAGCCCCGATTCACAGCATTGTGCTGGAATCACCACATCACACTCTCTCTTCTATGTCACTGAATCCCTGTACTCCTCAATTCATTCAACATTTGACTTAAAGTAGAAGAACTTCATATTCTGTCAGAAAACAACATACTTACTGCCTGAAAGCATATCGATGTAGAAATGGCATAGATGATGCTGTCTGCATGAGGAAAATAAGGAACCTTCCCTGCTTCAATGCCTTTGAAGTATATCATCTATAAAAATAAACAAGAAATGCTGAACAAAACAACATAAACAAAGTAAAAGTAGCTTTTTGATTTTTATTTATTTTACCTTTTCTAAGTAACATGTCAACATTACTAACCTATGCTCATATATTTTTGTTTGTGTCCACAAACGTGACACTGATTGAGATAGCTTATAGCAGTTATCCCAGATCAATAGAACAAGAGGCTATTAATGTCTGGAACAGGACCTAGCGATGGCTTGGGTGTTAAAAGGGTAGTATAGATCTTAAAGTTAGAAAAGGGAAAGTCTGCTATGTTAAATTCTTCATTTTAAAAAAGCAAAAGAACAATGCAGTAACTTTTCCAACAAAGTGAATATTCACTGTTCTTAAACAGCTTGAAATCACATACTTTTCTTTCTGAGAAAACATGTAAAGTTTATTTTCCTGAGCACAGCTTGACCTTCCAAAGCAGCACACGCCTCTTTGGTCAGTTACCCTTGGCTTGCGTAAGACAATAAAAGTAGAAAAAAAAATAATAAAAAAAATAAATAAAGGAAAGAAAGAACACATAGCACTTTTCTTATTTCACTGCAGCCACAATGTCTTGAAGTCCAGAGAAAACCATCAGTGATACAAGATAATATTGGGTTTTTACAACTGGTGTTCTAAAAGTCAATATGGATAACTCAGATGTGCTTTTATATAACCAATATGTGAACTACCTTCAGAGCTTGATCTAAGATTACAAGGAGCACGAATAAACAGAAATACCTTCCCTTTTTATGTTTAATTTTATGATTTAAAAAAAAAAGTTCCTTCTTTTTATATTCTTTGAAATGAATTCTGCTCTGGTAATGGGAGTGGATAAATATCACTAAGGAACGAGGCCCTCAAGGTCTGCAGGAGAAAGCTTTGTGATTCGGGGATGATACATAAGAGAACACTCTCAACTTATCCCGGCGGTGCTGCTGGGGAAATAACCATGACTAAGTCCCAATTTTATGGAAAAATCACAGTACGAAATCAAAAGCTAGTTAGCAAAGTATAATCAACATACCCAAACTCTACAAACTTTTTTCTTTTCCTGGGCTCCTAATTTTAATAAGTTCATAGAAATAATCGAAACCTGAAACATAGTAATTAGAACGAAGTTCGTTGCAAAGCTGGGAATTCAATCAGCTTAAGTATACTGACAAACAACTCCAGCTATAGGCTATAACCTAAGCTATTTTGAGTTATCTTAGATTGTTGAATGCCAAAATTAGGGAACAAAGGCAGGAAGTTAAGCTGTAGCTTTTGGCAATAAATCTGCAATTAAGGACTAGGTCTGATTTATGTTTCTGGCAGAATCGGCATTCTTGGAACTTTCAGATTTAAAAAATCTGCAAAAGGTACAAAGCCAAGGGCTAACAGGAGATTAAAAAAATTCATGGAGAATATACATGGAAAACAGTGGACAAAGGACTTTTAAAATGAGTCACAGAAAAGGAAATAAGAAAGAAAAGAGAGCACAGAATGGCACTGCCTCCTGGCACACACGTACTGAAGCACACCACCGCCACACAACTTTGTATCACACTGGAATTGTCTGATGAAGCCTGTGAAGTTCATTTTGTTTTTTTCTGCCTTGAAAAAAATAGATTAAATGAAGGACTCTGTTATGAGGGTAATATCTTACCTCTACTAGTTTGGACACCAGATACATCGAGATAGTAGTACTTTTGTAAAACATCATCGAAATTCCTGCTAGGCACCCTGTAACAATGAGAAAACAAAAGTATTGTTAAGATTGTGATTTACTGTTGCTGTTGAAGTACGTCAGCTCAACAGACACTGCGCAACATTGCGCTTGCTGTTGCTACAGCAAAGTTTAGTGATGTTCCCGTATTGCCCATCAAAATATGGTTTATCTCATTTAAAAAAGAGAGTTTTGAAACCCTGAAATAAATCCATAGTTCAGTGCTCAGGGGCACAGCATCGAATTTCCTCTCTCATCCCACAAGGAAGAGAGAGCTCTGAGGTTCCAATACGTGACAGATGCATAAACAGCAGGGAAGGGCCTGCACCACCACACACAGCAAAAGGGTCCTTCTTCGGATCAGGTGGAGCCCATCCTTTCACATGTGTATCCTGTCACGTATGGAAGAGTCGGGATTTGAACCTCACATCTCTACAGTTGGAAAATAAAGGACAAGTTCACAATTGTGCATACAATAATGTATCGTCCCTGAAGCTGACCGTAAAAACCACACTATTTGATTGAATTTGCCTTACAATTTTAATTGCAACTCTTTTTACTTGAAACACGACTGTCACTTTGACACAACCTTGATGTACACAGTCCTATTTTCACCACAGAAATCTGAAAAGAGAATGTGAGGACAGACAAGAGAAATATTTGCAGACTCCCAACAGAGGCAATATAAACTTCTTGTCATGGACTCACCAGCTACAAGGGCATGAAGCTCATCATCTAGGTTTCGTACCCATCGCAGGAAACAACTAGTACCCTGTAGGTGAAGAGAGAGCAGGATTAGCCCTAGTTATTTCTCTTTCATAACAAATAGACTGGAGCTATTCCTCTATAAGCTAGTAATATAGCACACAGTATGAATTAAGAGTATGGTGTGAAAAACCGCATAATCCACAGTACCTGAAACACTTCAGTGTTTTAATTAAGAGCTTACCACCATTTCTTTCAAAATCAGGGAGCAGATCAATCTAATTTGAATATCAAATTCCAAAGCTAATCTTGAATTCACATCACCTTCATCTGCTGTAGTTGTCTAGACTTTTTCCCATTATAAAGTCCATTATCAACTACAGACCGAACACCTTGAGATTTTTCCACACATCCAATAAATCAGGAATCAGGAAAACACATTAACCTGAAAAGTTAGAACTGCATATGATTAAAAGACACAGTGAAATGCATAATAACCTGTTTGTTGGCACAGACAACAATACACAGCTGTTCAGGCCAGAATGGATGTAAGTAATTGTGGCTTAGGCTGCATTAAAATATATTTCATTTGGATGACTGCAGGTTACCAAATGATCCAGACTGTTCCACATCTGCCACATCCTCGGCACTGGTTTTTTAACTGTTTTGGAAATCCATACTTGGTCTCCAAGTTTTATGCCTGGTACATTTCTGTTTGCTTCTAAATGGTTCAAGATCTGCTTAGTGAGGCCCAATCCTGCTTTGAGATATGTGCGTCGGCCTCTTAATCTATCTAATGTGTGCTTTTCATGGAATCAAAGAACAGTTTATGTTGGAAAGGACCTCTGGAGATCATCTGGTCCAGCCTGAAGCAGGTCTAATTAGAGCAGGTAGCTCAGGAACTTGTCCAGTTGAGTTCTGAGCATCTCCAAGGACGGAGACTACACACGCTCACTGGGCAACCTGTTCCAATATTTGGCCACCCTCACATAAAAATGTTATTTCCTTATATTTCTTTGGAATCTCCCACATTTCAGCTTGTATCCATTGCTTTCATCCTATCACTGCACACCTCCAAGAGGTATAGGTAGCAATAAAACCCGAGTCTTTTTTTCTCCAGCTTAAAACCCAGTTCTCCCATCCTATGAGCCAGTCCTCACATCATCTTGGTGGCCCTCAGGTGAAACCATGCTTGAAAAAGACATTAAAATTAAAAGAAGAAACAAAGTAATAGCTGTGTAAAAAAATGGATCTCACTAGCTACCTTTACATTTTTAGTAAGTACATTCATTGCAAAGCCATTGATACATTGCAATTATGACAGTCAATTTTCCTATTCAAACATGTAAACTAATTTAAAAAAGGAAACCAGGCTACCATGGCCAACTTACTTTCTGCAAAACCATGTTTGCTGACATTAATTAACAGTAAGGGGAACACAAAGTATTAATAGTACAGCTACTGCAATCCTACAACAGCTTTTTGGATGCTTTTAGGGACAAGATGGACTTTTTTAAAAGCAGTCCATAATGCAATTCCTTTGGGTTCAAAATACATGAAGCATTTCTTTTTTTTTTTGGCTGTGGTCCAATCTTTTGGAGTGACTAGAGTCTGCTGCCCTACATGCTTATTTCAAACTGGAAGAAAAATATAATGCATCCCAAATCTGTGTAAGTTATGGAACATAAACAACAAGAGAAAGGAGAATCATAGAATCGTTTAGGTTGGAAAAGACCTCCATGATCATCAAGTCCAACCATTAACCTAACACTGCCATCTCACCACTAAACCATGTCCCTAAGCACCTCGTCTGCCCGGCTTTGAAATACCTTCAGGGATGGGGACTCCACCACTTCCCTGGGCAGCCCATTCCAATGCCTGACAACCCTTTAGGGGAAGAAATTTTTCCCAATGTTCAAACTAAACCTGCCCTGGTGCAACTTGAGGCCATTTCCCCTCGTCCTATCGCCCGTTACCTGGGAAAAAAGACCGACCCCCACCTCACTACAGCCTCCTGTCAGGCAGTTGTAGAGGGCGATCAGGTCTCCCCTCAGCCTCCTCTTCTCCAGACTAAATAACCCCAGTTCCCTCAGCCGCTCCTCGTATGACTTGTGTTCCAGACCCCTCACCAGCTTGGTTGCTCTCCTCTGGACATGTTCCAGCAACGCAACGTCTTTCTTGTAGTGAGGGGCCCAAAACTGAACACAGTATTCAAGGTGACCAGTGCCAAGTACATACTTAATAATCTATAAATAAAGGTCAGATTATGTCACCCTCGTAAAATGAGTATCTACAGAACTTTGCACTTTGCCATCAAAAATTTTAAATTCTGTAACCTGACAAATTCTTGCCTCTCAGTCTGACTGCACGTCAAGTGAAATGCTGTTTTTCTTACAAATAACACCTGTTTTTTTAATTTTCAGTAAGCAATATTTATCCTGAATAACACAGAATTATCTTAACTTTGCAGAGCAAGTGAAGTGTCAGTTAAAAAATGACACGTGTGATTAAGAATATAAAAGTGCAAAAGGCACTTCAGCACTGCACTATACAATATATTCTGTCTTGGGGTGTGTGCTTCGTTACATTCTCTTTTGGCATAAATAAACATAATTTGATTAATTCCAACAAGCAGTATGAACGAATACCCGTTCGCAATCTGTCACTGTATTATGGGGTAGAAGGGTAGATTTCCAAGGGGTAAGTGCAGCGTCTCCCCAGATGATATATGTTCTGCAATCTCCTGCTATTTAGCGTCAAGTAAGTATTCCAGATATCTGAGCCAAAAAAACCTGCAAATGGTTTCTGTCTGGGAAGGCTGCTGCTACTCCAGTCACTACTTGTGTCTGCACTAAAATGGTTTTGTGTAACAGCAAGTCCCTTTGAAATCTGAATTCACTTTCTCTGAAGCACTCCCTATCTCCTGATCTTGATACCATGCTGCAAAATCCATCTGGTTTATTCAGAAATGATAGAAAAAACGCATGGAGTGTGTCCTGGTTTCGGAGAGAGCAGCTGTGTGGTGCTTAGTTGCCTGCCAGGTTAAACCACGACAGAGTGGAAGACTAGTTTTCTATTCACAATTTGATTATTCTATTTCAATTTTGATTATTGCAATACTACAGAATTTGTCGGTGACATGCTGTAGCAAACAGTATCAGTAATAGTAAGCTGCCAGACTTTTTAGGTCTTTGTGATATTCTGAAAAGTGAAATAAAACACATGGCATTTGTCATTGCAGTATGTTTTAAGCTTACTTTATATATACTGACGAAAGATCCCAGAAAAGCTCCAAGTTGGAAATTTTCCTTGTTGTAGAAGAGGGAAAGCAGCCGGGATGGTTCTGTAAACAGATGCCGGAAGGTGGATGGAATCCGAAGGCAACACTGGATCAGGTACCCGATGCTAAACATCCTAATGAAGCCCTAGAGAACAGAAAGAAAGATTTTGTGGTAAGAAACCACAAATTCAGAAAAAGGAAAAGCAAAAACATCCACAGAAGTACTTATTTTTGTCATTGAGCAGTTTAAAACCCATTCTGCACATACTATGTAAAATGCATCCCCATCTTCAAACTGAAGATCAGGGTTTTTTTTTTTCCTGATTCCCCTGTAAAATGGTAAAGGCAATAAAATCATAGACAATTGACCCTTCTTTAATTTCTGTGAATATCTGAAAGGCCTCAAGGGACAAACTCTATTTCTCTTCTGCTCCAAAATTCTGTCCTTTGAATAATCCTGATGACTTCATTTCCAGGTTACTGACCAGCCTTTAACCACAAATGGGTATATAGAGGAAAATAATGTGGTGGAAAAAAAGAGCACTTCTACACTCAAATGTCTGGAGAAAGCACTAAAGGAGGAAAAAGTCCACAAAAAATAAATTTCAGAAAGTGTGAGAATTAGAAAGTGACCCTGGTGGCTTGGCACGTGCTCACGTACTTTCTCTCAACCAAACTGGAGGAGGCTGAGCGATGCCTGCAGCAAGACAAAGGGCGAAACTGGAAGGGAGATTACGTGCAGAGCTACTGAGAAAGGATAACATGGGTTCCAAGGATTTGTTTTTACTACTCCACCTTGGATATAGATCTGTTTTCCTGCACCATGTCACAAAACCACACGGACTTGTTCTTTCCAAATTCTTCTCCCCAGTTTCTTATAACTTCCTCCAAAGCTTCCTATCATTATTCTTACCCCATGGCTGAACTTCTCTAATCATTCTACATAAAATCTATCCATTTTTTGGTTGGAAGATGCCTTATCTGAAAACTATCTGTGCACTCACCATTGGCAAATAAAGCAGGTGCCCAATGCTCATGATTTCTGCAGTTCATTTTTTGGAAGGTACTCAGGGACACCGAGACAATTCAAGTTACAGGGACAACTGGCAGAGGGTTTGACTGAGCAACTTTTCAAACTCAGAAACTCAAAACATTTTTGCCTCCTACGGAACTTTATATCATCATAAAGCTCATAAAATTTTATTGTGGTTAAACATCCAGTAATAAACTCTTCCTGAAGCAATTACTCTCCCTGCTACTCAAGAAGTGGTTTATGAGAATGAAGTGGAAGAAAATATATTGTGTCATCCAATGATCCCGCAGCTATGAAGGAAAAATTGCCACTTCTTCGTCTGCTACTCTTAAAAGTGTGTACATTGTACAGACTGAAAAGCTAACGACCCAGTGTTTTCTGATCGTGTAATGAAAACGCCTACTGAAAGGTATGCGAGGCAGGCAGAGATGTAAATGCACTGTGAATTTTGTGTAGTTAAAATGTCAAAATTAAGATGAACATATATTTGCCCCTAAAATGAAGAGGTACCCTAGTGTGAAGTACATAGCCCTCATCTTTCAACAATATGACATGATTATGACACCATGTAACATTACATAAAAACAAAGTCCTAAAACCAGCAGTTATGAATAAAACCCAAACCAAGAGAACAAACAGTATGGTATGTTCAACATGTTCACCCAGCTGTAGGAAAGGTTACTCTGATGAGGTGAGGAAGACTGCATTAGGAAACACTTAAATTCCAACTGGAAACAAATATATCCATGATTTTACTTTTATGAGTAGCCTACTCAGAAGTGCTGAACTGAAGGATTAAAGCTTAGCTTTGACATGCACCAAACAGCAATAAGTAGTGCACAAAATCTTTCTATTTGGCTCATTAAATCAACTGGGTAAATCCATATCACACTTAGAAGTGGTTTTCAGAGTCACAGAAAGTATTACATCTTATAATCAATGCACAATATTGTAACTTTTCTCTTCCAAAAAAAGACCTCAAATGATAAAGGAGGTAGAAAACAGTAGAGTATACATAGGACACTAAAATAAGCATGAGTGAGCAAAGAAAACTCTGCTAAGAGCCATTTCTCCCCAGAGATTTTGATTTGGGACTCAGATCAGCCAGAAGTAGCAGCACAGTGAACTACATAGCTGCAAAACTCATTGAATTCATCTTTTTTTTTTTCCTTTTGAGAAACAGATTTATTAAAAAGTTAATAATACAGTCAAGATATTGGCTGTAACTCAAATACAGAAAAACACGTGTGTGCACATAAATGGAGTTCAGTAATACCAAAACTCAGTCAGCCTGTTGCAACATACTAGGAACTAGTTAAAATAATTCTTAAAAATAAATTAGTTAAAATATTTAAAATTTGTTCTGGGTATACAGTTGCCCATGTTCCTTCAAGAGACAGAATGCAGAGATCACAATCACCGGAAAGTAATCTTATATTCTTTTTGGTCATCCTAGTCATTAGGTAAGTTATGAGGATGATCTGGTGTCATCCACTGCATCAGCAGAAAAAAAAGGACAACTGCTGGCTGGTGTCTCCTCATTGTAACCAACCAGAGTAAGAAAAGAGGAAAAGCATGGTTTGACTGCTTCTGGTAGCTCTTTTCAACCCAAAGCATTTTAAGTATTAAAAATTTGAAGGGAAGTCTATGAAGTCATGTGGTATGTTATTACTAAATGCTATGTAAAAGCTATCACAGATTATGTCAACTACCTAATGTGTATTTAAATGTGAAGCAGGAGAAAAAGAGCACACGATGACAATTAAAACTCAGATATGACGAGAAGTTCAAGAGTAAGGGAAAATACAGCAGGGAGGGGAAATTTTGGCAATAAGCAGCTCATCAGATCATTATCAGAGCTGAAAGCTCCCATCCAGATATGGAATTACAAAAACATGCTCAAATCACATCAGCTGACAATTATTACTGATCGACTCCAGGAACAGCCATAGAGAGAACTGAAAATGCTTTAAGAATTTTGGATCTTTAAAAATCCAAATACATCAAAACAAAATTTTTCACCCTGTTTTAATTTTAAAAAAAGTCACAGGGAAGGCAGGAAGTTCAAAGATCTGGGTGCCACTTCAGTGATATTTCCCTGATGATATTATTGTAGTCAAGCACAATTTATACTAAAATTTATATAAAAGAGTGTTACAAGAATGAAGTGTAGTTCAAATGCACAACTGGTTTCTCTGAAGAGAGAACAGACTTATAAAATGTCTTTTTTTTAATTATTACTTGAGATCAGGTCAGGACTTAGTTCAGCTCCATTATCAGTTGGTTTTCTTCTACTCTCATCTCCTTTCAAGGGTATGTGAAATGCGAACAAATGATGCTGAATAAACAACTGAAGAGGACAGACCCCTGAATATCCCCTTTTTGTGTAGAGAGAGTAGCGTGGGGATGGTCTTCTGTAATCTGAGGAACTCCCAACCTGGAATCAGATTTGGGTCACTCCAACAGAGTGACTGAACTCCTGTTTCTTGGTCACCCTTCCATTTCCATAGAATCATAGAATCACTTTGGTCAAAAAAGAACTTTAAGATCATCGAGTCCAACCTTTAACCTAACCCTGCCATCCCACCACTAAACCATGTCCCT